TCTCTCTCTCTCTCTCTCTCTCTCTCTCTCACACACACACACACACACACACACACTCCCATCCAAACACTCACTGACCTCGCCTGTCGTTCTGGAGTAGTCTGCTCCAGTGGTGAGCATCAAGAGCCCTGTGCAGTTTGTCATTCCTCTGTTCTGTTCCTTGCAACTCTACTTCCATCCTTCACACGTTTACTAATAAATGAAGACGTGTGAGGATCATTAGTAGAACAGAAAATATGAGCTGAAGATCTGAAGAACAATGTACAGGAGTATACCATTCCTTTACTCTGCCTCCTATTACAACATGCAAGTGTGCCTTTAAGGCACAAGGGGATGTGGAAGCTGGCGTGCAACCACAACCAACGTTTTCAGCCTTGAACGTGAGAGGCATAGTAAAAGGGGAGCTGCACGAACAAATTAAAGGGGTACCCCGAAGAGTGGTGAAGTAAAGATACTTGAGAAAGGGAAATAATGGATCTCTTGTCATTCATGATGTTTGCTATAGAGGTTAAAACTGTTTCATTGTTCGACTGGCTCATCTCAATCAAGTGTGCTTCATTGTCTGCAATAGAGGTAAAGTTGCTTTGATTTTGGAACTACTTATCTGGGTGGAACAGGGGCTGTTATGGTGAAAATCTAAAATAGACACACAGCTTGTTCTTGTTCTCCTCCTCCCACCCGGTTTTTCCTGTGTGGTTTCCTCCTGCCTTGTGCCCTGTTCTTAGTGTCAGCTCCTCTAGGAGCAGATGTGAAGTTCCTGACATGATTTCCAAGCACAGCTTGAGTCGGAGCTTTTTGCAGTGGGCACTGGGCTCTCTAATTGCTGGCAGTTGTTTGTGCAGTGGTGGCTACCCTTGCTGTCACAAATGCAGTATATAGAGTCATTATAGATGCTTTGCTGTTATTAGTGGAATCTTGGTGCTCGATGGCGCAGTTCTGTTTTTGAGAGGATGCAGGATTTTGATACACTGTAAGATTTTTGCACCTGAATTATCAGACACCTGTAAATATGTTTCAAGTTAGCAACAGTAATCACACTCTTCGAGCCTTTTTTTTTATACTACTGTTTTTTTTTTGTTTTTGTGTTTTGCATGTTATGGTGGGTATATAATGGGTGATTGTAAGGAGCCGTAAGTCACCACTACCTCGGATCCACTTTTTGCCGAACCTGAATTTCAGTGCGCGCAGAGTTTTGCCGAGCCTGGGTCCCGTTATATTTTTTTCATACATGTGGTGCATCGCGATGCGCTGTACTGCGCACGTGCGCCACACCGCGCATCCCGCATGACGCGCGCGCACTGCATGCGGCGCACCTCCAAAAATGGGGGTCGAAAAAAAAAAAAAAGTTATGAGGGGCAGTAGTAGACCCGGCCCCCTGCTTGCGTAAAATAAGAAACGGGCAGCCAAAATTTTTTTGGAAGCCGCGCGTTGGCCTGAAAGCTTTAGTAACCTGTAGTCCGCATAACACTCTGTGTGTATGGTAGGGTTCTTGCAGGCCAGATCCAGTCATGATGAGGGTTGCGATCTCTCAACGTTCTCTTCTTATTACTTCTGAAGTAGAAAACAACGGAACTGACAGCCGTTTTTCCTGGAGTTTTTTTTTTTTTAATAAAAAGCTGAGTGAGGACGCCGCCCGGCCGGGCCTGCCCTGCCGGGCTGGGCCCAGCCGGTTGGGCCCGGGGGGGGCCGCCCGGGTAAACCGGGCAGGACAAAAAAGCGCCCAGAATTTTTTTTTTTTTTTTTTTTT